CAGTTCTTCTACTTTCAAGTCATGTTTCTCAGATGATACTACATTATCCTACTGTTTTAACTTTCATTTTCATTTCTGGTCATTTCTGCAATTGTGAGTTTATACATTTGCACATGAAATAGACTTTTTTTTACCAGAGTAACCGTTCAAACAAAATGTGTGTGTGCATGATTTGATATCATAATTTATGGTAATTTTGTACAACCTCATAGATATTTTTGGACTTGAAGATGTGTGACTTGCCTAAGATAGTGGTTATATAAGCTCTCTCCTTTCAGATTGGATGACACTCCTCCGATATGGATAGCCAGCTTTTCAAAATGGACCGTCGGCTATGTTTGGCATGCTGTTATGTTTCTGTTTGTGTGTTCTGTCATGCTCTGAATGTCTTGTTTGTTCTCAGTGTTTCATGTATCATGTCTTAACACAGACTAAAACAAACTATGTATACTGTATATATACAGTATATATTCACAAGTTTTGTGTTCCCAAGTGACATAATGTAAATGTTTTATTTAATCCATTACAGATTTGATATAACAGTTGATATACTTTCTTCTTTCTGTAGTTTTTTGGATAAAAATGCATTTGTTGATGTATTAGATAAACTAAGGCTGGTGTTCCTTCTTTGTTTTTCTGTCTTACAGACACAAATCAAAAGATTTTAAGGTGATGCTTAAGAAGGCAGTGAGGAAGATCTCCACCGTGCGCCAGGTGGCTCAGATCACCCTAGCCGATGAGGGCAATGTCATGATACACCATCACTGATGACCTTTAACCTTTGCCTTTTTGACCCCACACCTGCACGCAGAATGAAATGGAACGTGGAGAAACAGAGAACAAGCTGAAAAGGCTTGTTCTCGGCCTGTTTTTCTTTTAAAAGCACCTGAATGGGCAAGCTTGTGTGTACGTAAATGTTTTATTTAATCCATTACAGATTTGATATAACAGTTGATATACTTTCTTCTTTCTGTAGTTTTTTGGATAAAAATGCATTTGTTGATGTATTAGATAAACTAAGGCTGGTGTTCCTTCTTTGTTTTTCTGTCTTACAGACACAAATCAAAAGATTTTAAGGTGATGCTTAAGAAGGCAGTGAGGAAGATCTCCACCGTGCGCCAGGTGGCTCAGATCACCCTAGCCGATGAGGGCAATGTCATGATACACCATCACTGATGACCTTTAACCTTTGCCTTTTTGACCCCACACCTGCACGCAGAATGAAATGGAACGTGGAGAAACAGAACAAGCTGAAAAGGCTTGTTCTCGGCCTGTTTTTCTTTTAAAGGCACCTGAATGGGCAAGCTTGTGTGTACAGTTTACTGAACAGGAACATCTCTTTGTTATTGTAGAAATTCAGACTTTTCGGTAGAAGATTCGCTATGAAGAAGCTTTCAATATATCAAACCATACTGAAACTACATGGCTTCTCATAAGCTTCTCATTTGGAGCCTTGGTGGTCCAGCTCACTCATCATGCTCATCGTAAACATATACATCTATCTGAGAAGCTGCATATCTCTATTCTCAACATGAAGCACCTTTATGAAATGAACCAAAGTCTCACAAGGAGCTAAATTTACCCAGTGGGAATCCATTACTCAGCACGAGGGGGGTCAGGTCCGGCTCAAAGACTCAACACATACAGTGCATTCACATCATTCACTTGCAGATTATCCCTCTTAGTAAACATGTTTGTGACTAGAGAAAATAGTACATTTAGTATTGCAATAAACTATTGTGCAACCAGCATTAATATGGTGCATGTGGGTCTATGACGATCTATGATTTTAGATTTAGAGTTCAGTTTTACCATGGAATTTTAGTTGATTTTTTTCCCTCATAGATGATCAATTAGCATAATCCATAATAGGATTACCATGAAAACCCAAAGAATATCACAATATGTATTAGAATGCATATTTGCAATGCATGAGCGCATCGTGGTGGTTGTCGAATCAGATTTAGTTAGAAGTAAACTATGATTTGTATGTACATACTACAGTTCAAAAGTTTGGGGTTAGTAAGATTTTCAAAAGAAGTTTCTTATCCTCGCTAAGGCTGCATTTATTTATCAAAAATACAGTAAAATAATATTAGCAACATTATTACAATTAAACATAACTTTTCGATTATAATATACAGTATTTAAAATGTTAATTTATTCCTGTGATGGCAAAACTTTCAGCAGTCATTACTCCAGTCTTCAGTGTCACGTGATCCTTCAGAAATCATTCTGATATGCTGATTTGGTGCTCAAGAAACATTTTCTATTATCAGTGTTGAAAACAGTTGTGCTGCTTACATTTTTGTGGAAACCATGATTCATTTTTCCAGCATTTTTTGATGAATAAAAAGTAAAAAAAAACAAACAAACAGATTTTATTTGAAATAGAAATCTTCTGTAACAATGTAAAAGTCTTTACTGTCATTTTTGATATTTACTTGCTAAATAAATGTTACTGACAGCAAGCTTTTGAACATTAGTATATATATATTTGTAGACAAATACTAATTCATGTTAAAATACTATTCAATATGTACTGTAAAAATAAAAAATAAAAATGGAAAATACCGTGTGTTGTTTCTTTAAAAGGACAGGCTATATTGTTTAATGGGAAAAGGGCTAATGTGTGTTATGAGTCTTGAAATGCATTCATCCTGAGATGCAATAGAAGTTCAGAAGCACTGAAATACGGTATAACAGTGCCCTCTTGTTATTGTGTCAGTAAACGCAGCAGATGGCGACCTACATTATCATGCCCTATGTGGATTATCTAGTACTGACTATATAAAACTGCAGAGCCACCAGGTCACCCCTAACCAGATTACCTTCTCTCAAAACCTGTTCATCAACTCACAGCAAGATTACCCACCACTTACATACAGTGTTTTTTAATAATTATGAACTAGCTATTTCTTCTCCTTCTCAGTGTAACTGTCATGCCTCTAGGTGTTTAAAGGTTGTGAATCTGCTAAAAAAAAATTAAAAGGTTAACTTTGGTTGTCTGTTTTCGATGCCAGTTTTGTCATTTAAAATTTTCTATAATACATGTTTATATTTCAGAATAATCATGCCGTGAGGGAACATTTGAGGCATTAGTATCTCTGTAGGGAAATAAGTGGCACAAACTACACACTGAGAGACAAAAAAAACAAAAAAAACTTTTATAATGAAAGTTAAACCCTCATTATATTAAGAGACTCTGACTTGCCATCAATCAAACAAACATTAAAAATTGAACTTCTCATTAATTAAATTTCACCAAAATACATTTCAATTTGTTATTAACCGTAGTTCCAAATGAGTGAACATAATAATTATTTCACAAACAGAGTGTCAGAGTGAAATGTTTATCAGAGAGTAGCTCGTATTCTCTATTATGCATATCATATGCAGCATTTTAATGTTTTTTTTATTACTAGTTAGCAGTGTTGGGCAGTAACTAGTTACTAGTAACTAGTTACAGTAATAATATTACTTTTTGCAGTAGTAGTGTAACTAATTAGTACTAAGATTTCAGTAATAATATTACAGTTACTCTCCATAAAACAGCTAGTTAGTTACTTTCGATGCCTCAACCCCTAGTGATTTAAAGTCCAACAATCCAATAATTCCTAGATTTATTTTCAGAATTTCACAACTTGCTGAAGTCACATGAAGTCAGCAGGCATATGGAATATGAAAAAAATCTTACATTCAGCGGATGGAAATATTGACATTACATTGATTTGGAGAAAAGATGATATGGGGCCAGTTGCATAAATGTAGCCACCATGTTAAGACTGTCTTAAGAACCAGTTTGACCAACTAGCAGTTGCCAAGGGGTAATCAGTCTTACTTTTCCAATACAAATAAGACCAACACCTTTTCATAACTGAATTAAAAAAGTTATGAGCAGTCTTGAAGAAAAAAAAAATCAGATGACTTACTTTTTAAGACTAGTCTAAACAGTTTATGCAACCGGCCCCTTGAACACTGTGTAAGTTGTGGTACTGCTTTACTCGTGGCATTACATGGCTTGCCCACCCACATCCCTCTGATGCTGATATACATTGTATAAAATCTTTTTAGAGAATGAAACATTTTCCTATGAACTTATATGATTTCTTTTGAAAAAATACATCATGGAATATAATCTTATGAGTACAACAGAGAAATTATAGCTACAATTAGCTTCAAGCTACATATGGCAATTATTGAGATTAATTTATCACTTACTTAAACATTACTATTAATCACCACTGAGTGTTTGTAATAACTTCTGATTGCGATCCAATGTGGATTTTGGTCAAATGATGAGGCATAATATTGTTAATAACATTTTATTTAATTTTTCAGTTAGTAAAATTTGACTTCATTTTTTTCCTTTAATAAAGATTTACATTTATAAAGGCTAGTTGAAAGACAGATCACACATTCAACGTCATTTTCACAAAATCTTGATGATTAGGGATTAATATTCAGTTATTAATGTCTCTGCTTCTATACAAAAATGTATAAGAATTCTCTCAACACACACTTACAAAGCTACTGTAACACGAGTGTCTAGCAAGTTAGTACATTATAAATCCGGACTACTTTAGTTAAAATATCAGTCACCGGCAAACTACAATAATTTGCAAACATGTAACAAAAGTAATTAAGCACAATCGCCTTCTGTACACTTGCAAGCGATACGCATCCCAAAAGGCACAATCAACAACACAAGGAACCTTGAAAACGTCTGTGATTGGGCGGGTGACTCTTCAGTCAAACGCTACAGCCAATGAACGCTCGACATTCCATGACGCAACCTGCTTTACAGAATATTATTGGACAAAAGCCTATCAATCATCAGACGTCACCTTGCCGTTTCAATGAAACTCCGAGCGAAACCATTGGTCAGTGACATTGACGTAGTTCCGAAAAGGTCCATCGTGATTGGTCACAGCAGCTTTCAATCACACGTCTCGCTCAATCGGGCGCCTGCTCCCACCCCCAGGCGAATGACGCACGAGTCATGTGTTGTTTGTGCTCGCGCTCCATAGTGTACACAGGGCGCGAACGGCAGATTGGTAGCCCGCTAGGAGGATCTACCGATAATAGATCGGGTAAATGTGGTCATGTTGCAGTTGCTGGCATTGAGTTCGGGGAGCATTGGCTGGGATACCTGCTTTTCATGTGGCGGCCGACAGAAGCTCAACACTGAAAAGACTTAAGTGCGCCGCCTGAGACACAGTTCCCCTCAAACAAACATGGGGTCTCAGTCTAAAAGCTTGAGGTAAAGTGACCTTAAATCTCCTATCTGATGGCAAATTTCGAGAACTACCAAGAAGGCAGAGCCGCAATGTTGATGCTGGAAACGCAACAGCGGGCAATCGGGACTAAACCTGCAGCTGCAACGGCGAACGGCGACACTTCTGTCGGGGAACCCCCTTCCGTACTTGATGTCGGCGGCGCTGCGTTTCATCAACCGACTGAACAACATCCACAGCAGCAACAGCACCTGGAATCGCCGGCGAGGAAAGCATCCGCGTCCTCTCTTAACCGGGCGCTTGAGGACTCTGCAGCGAGTAGCACACACACTACTACCTCAGCTTGCCCTGCTGTGAACACCGTGTCAGACGACATTAGGAAGTGTGGCTATCTGAGAAAGCAGAAACACGGCCATAAGAGGTTTTTCGTCTTGCGGGCGTCGAGTCATCTGGGGCCGAGCAGGCTGGAGTACTATGACAGTGAGAAGAAATTTCGAAACACTCTGCGCTCAAACGCCGCCGCCTCAGCTGGCGCCTCTCCCCCCAAAAGAGTGATCTATCTCTACCAGTGTTTCACTGTGAATAAAAGGGCGGATTCTAAGAATAAGCATCTCATTGCTCTGTATACTAAGGATGAATACTTTGCGATTGTCGCTGAGAATGAGCAGGAGCAGGAGGAGTGGTACCAGGCGCTCAGTGAGCTCATGAGTGAGGGCAAGAAAGGCCACCTGGATGCGGATGAGATTGACGATGGGTACGGTACTGTGACCCCTGGGACTTACTTTAAGGAAGTGTGGCAGGTAAATGTTAAACCGAAGGGCTTGGGCCAGATAAAGAATCTATCCGGCGTTTATAGGCTCTGTCTGTCTGCCAAGAGCATTCACCTGGTGAAGCTGAACTCTGAGACACCTTGCGTGAACTTACAGCTGATGAACATCAGACGTTGCGGCCATTCAGAGAGCTTCTTCTTCATCGAGGTCGGCCGGTCTTCGTCTATAGGACCTGGGGAGGTTTGGATGCAGGTGGATGATTCTGTGGTGGCTCAGAACATGCATGAGACCATTCTAGAGACCATGAAGGCACTGAAGGCATTTGCCGAGTTCAGGCCCAGAAGCAAAAGCCAGTCTTCTGGCACCAACCCGATGGGTTTCATCACCACGCGGCGACACTTGGGCAACCTCCCGCCCAGCCAGACGGGGCTCCAGCGGCGGTCTCGGACCGAATCTGTGGTGGGCACGCCACCCAGCAGGAAGAGCAGTGGAACAAGTGGCTACCGCTTCCGCACCTCCAGCGAGGGAGAAAGCACAATGAACCGCCCCTTTCGCTCTGTGACAGGTAGCCTTATTCATCTCAACACAGCCCGCGCTAACCTGAGCCGACAGGAAAGTAGCAGTGGGGCAGGGGCCCGCTATATTCGTGCCCCGCCAGGCTCCACTTATCATACTCGTTCTGCCTCGCTGCCAGTGTCACACTTTCCTTCTACCACCAGTCCGATCAGCATGTCCAGCAGCAGCGGCCATGGCTCTGTGTCAGACACCATCACTCGCCCCTCCAGCGCGTCCATTTGTGGTTCCCCGAGTGATGGAGGTTTTAACTCATCTGATGAGTACGGCTCCAGCCCCGGAGACTTCCGGTACTTCAGAGTGCGCAGCAATACCCCTGACTCCCTGGGAAACACACCACCGATCCGTGAGGAGCACTGCCTCAATGACTATATGGCTATGGGCTGGAATCGTGACGTGTTTGGAACGAGTGCAGCTGAGGCCATCAAAGATGAGAGTGCAGATGAAGATTCACGATCGGGGTCTTTAAGGAGGCGGACTCCCTCCTTCTCCAGGCAGGTTGGGGGCGCTAGTGCTGCTGGAGTTGCTGTTCATCAGAAGATGACCCAGACCACCTTCTCGCTGGACGAGGCTGTGGCTGAGAGTAGCTCTTGGGGTGGCAGTGTCCAGATTGTCTCTACCTCCTCCTCCCTCTGCTCTGACTACAGCTCCAGTTCTGAACACAGCCAAGACCGGCCCCCTAGCCTACGGCCTGCAGACGCGCCTAAGGATGATGGGTACATGCCCATGATGGCAGGTGTGCTGCCCTCCACTAATGATGCAGACTACATGCCTATGCAACCAAATATCCTCCTCTCTGCCTCTGCACAAGTCCAAAGTGCTGCTTTACATGTTCCCCAGCACATGGACTCTCAAGGCTATATGATGATGCTCCCAGGTAGAAGTGGGGCTACTGACTCTCCCGTCCCATCCAGCCCTGACATTAGCAGACGAGCAGAGGGACGAAGAGCCTCGGACCGCCATGAGAATGCAGAATACATGGATATGTCTCAGAGCAGCTCCACAGCTAATGCTCAAAAGGTCTCTGCTGAGAATTATTATGCCTTGACCACTCCTGGTGTCCCCAAGTCCTACAGTCCATATTTCTCCCTCCCTCGCTCATACAAAGCTCCATCCAGAGACCATGCTGAGCATGACGATTACGTCCCAATGAGTTCCCCAGCAAAACCGGTCTACAATTCACCCACAGCCACCCCAGATCGTAGTAGCAGGTGCCCACCTCCTGAGTCCTCTCAACATAATGGCTTCACAGACCGCCGTGCCGTTCGGCCGAACCGCCTTCCCCTTGGAAGGCGGAGTTTGCACGGCTCTCTGCGAGCAGCAGAAGTGCCAGTGCGTCCTTCCAGCCCTGGAGAATACATTAATATTGCATTTGGAGATCGGCCCACATATTCTGCCTGTTCGTTGTCTGCTGAAGGCTCCCCCTCAACCCAAAGCATTAACCGAGAGCAGCGCAAGTCTCCGCTGCCACAGGATTACATGACTGTCGAGATGGATGGTCTTCCACCAAAAAGTCGGTCCCCACGGCCCTCCCTGGTGGCCCCCTGGAATCCTCCTTCATATATCCAGCCCTCCTCATCCTCCCACTGCAGTGGGCTCACGGTGGGTAAGCCTGACGACTACACGGAAATGTCTTTTGAGCCCGAGGAGGAGTCCAAGAGCCCTACAGCCATGCTTGAACACCTGTATGTTCTGGAGCAACACTTTTTCCCCTTCAGCCCCCCGACTGAGCTTAAGGTTGTCCGTGCTGACCCCCAGGGCAGGCGGAGACACAGCTCGGAGACCTTTGTCACATCATCAGGAGCGTCAGGTGGAAGTGGCCCGGACGCCAATGGCACCGTGCCTGGCAATAATGGGGCTCAGCAGGTGGGCCGCAGCAAGGGTCAGAACTTTGACTGTGTTTGGACTGACGGCGTGACATCTGGCAGTGAGGCAACACATGGAAACTCCTCAGATCGAGACAATTCCCCCTCTGTGAGGTCTGCAAGGACTCTGCCTGTGGAACACCAGAATGGCCTGAACTACATCGCCCTAGACCTGAGAGACGATCTCCGGCCTGGGAACAGTCATGATGCGCTTCCCTTGCCATCCTCCAGCGCTCCTCCCCCAGAGAACGGTGCCTATGCCAGCATAGATTTAATGACGTCTGAGGGGCTTACATCGGCATCTAAAGGTGAGCAATCTTAAATATGATTGTTTTTCTTGATAGTCATGTCTCCTAAAATCATGTCTCTTTTTTTCTAAAAGACACTTGAGTATGTCAGCCTTGGTCTCAGTTTCCAGTATTTAAAAACGGGAAGAATCATTTTTATATTCTAAATAATACAGTTCAGACTAGTTAAAACGATTAGCTGCTTTATTCATTTAGTCACTTGTCATTCCAAACCTGTTTGACTGACTTTCATCTGTGTAACATAAAATATAGTTACAATTAAATGAAATGCCTCAAAGTTTTATTTATTTTATTTTTTGTCTATGCAATAAGTTCTACGCTGTTTGCACACCGTTGACTTTAATTGTATTGGCAAAATCAGTTGCAACATTCTTAAAAATAACTTGTTTTATAGTTATAAGAAAGTAATTCTTCGAGTTTTGAAATGACACGACATGAGTAAACAATGACAGAATTTTACATTTTTGGGTGAACTATCCCTTTAAGTGTGTACAAAACACATCTTTATTGTAATGGACCCCCTCCTCTTGGCATCTCCTTCCTGTTGCATTCTCTAACTCCTTTGCCCTGAATGTTTTTCTTTTTTATATCCACTTTGTTTAGGAGCTGCTGTGTGCTTGGCTGAGTGTGTGTTGCTGCAGAGGGAGTGAGAGAATGAAGCGTTAGTGAGTCAGTGTTCTCAGCAAGCCTTAGATGACTCATTTGTTTATCATAGTTGAAGCAGAGATGGATGTGTGTGAGAGAGAGAGAGAGAGAGAGAGAGAAAAGTTTGGTTTAAAGCATGTGATAACTTTCTAGCATCTCTCTCACCCTCTCTTTCTCTCGTACCCTTCTTTTCCGTTGGCAAACAGAACTGTTGTATGACTCAGGTGATGATACACAGGAAACTTTATTTTCAGGCAGCATTGCTGCCAACTAGCTAGTAGCTCCAGATATAGACTGCAGGGTTTAGCTGTAAATTTTTTTGCATGATATGTCATTGGCTAAAGTATCCGCAATACACTGCCATGCTTTTGGGGGCACTGCGTGTAGGCTACTATTCCAGTAGTCTTCACTAGTTTATTAGAGCTGCAGGATAATTTCTGTGCCATTACTGTCATCGCACTAATGCCAAACAGGTCTCCTTCTTCGATATCAATGTTGACTAATGCTCAGACAAAACAGTTAAATGTTATACAGGGAGTTCAACCTGCAGATAGTTTATTTACATAGTAAACCTTATGTTTTACTTACATTTATGTTACATTGAATCAAGTACACTTTTAACGTGTAAAATTATACATTTTCAGTTTTTCCGTTGTGTGATATACCTGTTCTATACAGTTTTTTTTTTTTTGTGATATGCACTACTGTACTATCTTTTGCTGAAGTGTGTCAGTAGGAAATATCAGTTTACATTACCAAACATTCCTTTTGCCATTAATTGTAATAATTCCAGTGAGATTTTTGTTTGCACAAGGAGTCTGACAACAGCCAGTGCTCCACACAGAGATCTGATCTCACCATCATCCAGTCTGTCTGGAGTGACATGAAGAAACAGAACAAACCGAGACAGAAGAATTGTGACAACGTCTCCAAGATGCTGCAAGAAACCTACCTACAAAACTACAGTACTGCGAAAAGTTTTAGGCACTTGTGTAAAACTGCTTTACAGTGAGGATGCTTTCAAAAATAATGTCATAAATCGATTTTATTTATCGATGTGCATAGTTTTTAGGGTAGTTTTGCAGTTAAGTTTCTTAAAGCATCTATGGAGATGTTGCCACAGTTCTTCTGGATTTAGTCTGTCTCAGTTTGTTCTGTTTCTTCATGTCACTCCAGACAGACTGATGATGATGAGATCAGATCTCTGTGTGGAGCACTGGCTGTCTCTCTCCTTGTGCATACAAAATCTCACTAGAGTATTACAATTAATGGCAAAATTAATGTTTGGAAATGTAAACTAATATTTCCTACTTGACACATTGCATCAGCAAATAGAAATAACTGACCTAAAACCATTTGTTGTTGGTGAAAATACTAGTGGCCGAAGACTTTTGCACAGTAGTGTACATGTTCTACATGTCTGTGTTTGTAACTATATAGAGTGGAAGTTTATGTTGTCTTTCCAAAAGTCAGCAAATCATCTAAAAAATGAACCTCAGCTTCATGTATGGATGGCATCATCTCTGTGTGGCCTGCACACTCACTCTGTCTGTACATGCCTGACAGTGCAGGTTTGCACAAGACTAGTAACATCAGCTACATCATTCCAAACTTTTTAACCTGTGTCTACAAAATGTTGGTCTGGATGGTCACTGAACTATTGGGTTTTAGTATAATAACTAATATCACTCGGTGTGATATCGGCTGGATTTGCCTGCCTTCTTGTTTTTGAGTCATAGATACAAACTGTCAATAAATCAGCAAGTGCATCTGACACTCTTCTCCCTCTGGTACTATTTGATTCTCTCTCTCTCTCTAAATGAACAAAATAAGTTGTTGGTTCAGGTGACTATACTACTGGAATACTTGATTCTGTTCTGCTGCATTTCCTTCCTTATAATGACTGTTGTCAATAGCAACGCATTATAACACAGCGCACATCCATGTCTCTTGTATCATTCGTTTCATTCAAATGCAACTTGCCGTCTTGCTCTCAGTTTTTGATTGTATTGAAAATGAAATCAGAGGAATTTAGTATTAATACTACTATAATTTTGCTGTAGTGATCATATTGTCCTGACGATTGTTTTGTACACTGTTCATAATGGATTTATAAACAGATAGGATTTTAAAACATTAATCTCAATTGAATATTTCATGTCCCCGTATTTATATATTATTATAGGTAAACAAAAGAAATCTGTGTAATAAGTTAACTATGAATATACAATACATCCCTTAAATGTCAACCTTAATAGTTTGAATGTTTGTTCGTCTTGGCTCAAAGCCACTTGCTGCGAACTTTTCTTCGCGGAAGCTTTGCGTACAAGAGAGATAATGAATAGTTTGAACGTTCGTTCGTCTTGGCTCAAAGCCACTTGCTGCGAACTTTTCTTCGCGGAAGCTTTGCGTACAAGAGAGATAATGAAATATTTAATCTCTAATATATTTTGTCCAATTATTTGCCCAGTTAGTTTTGGTATTGAGGTAAAAGTTACCTTGTATTCGCTATATAACAGTGGGTGGTGGTCACGAAGATGAGCAAATTTGACGCGTTTCCCCCTTTTGCAGCGACTTTCTTCTTGCAAGATCGGCAGACAGGGTGACCGTCCTCGATTAAATTGCCTTCAGGACTCTTGTAAAAGCCAAAATACGACCAGATCTCCGATTTGGTCCTCTTAGATGCCTGAAAAATCTCCAGCGCGCTGTCACTGCCTTCCGCCATTTCGTCTTGTGCAGAAAAACAACAACATTGCATGCTGCTTCTGCGTCAGACTGATGCTGGCTGGACAGGATTTACAGCGAGTTTTCAAAATCGCTTTAATCAAACACGGTTTTGATGATAATTAAATTTTAAACGATAATACTAACCGTCAGGGCATTTTATCATGATTTATCGTGAAACCGGTAATCGTTCCATCCCTAAAACCTATATAATGAGTTTGGAAATAGTCGACTAAAACTAGACTAAAACTAAAAACAATTCAGGTGACTAAAATAGGACTAAAACTAAATGACATTTTAGTCAAAAGACTATGACTAAAACTAAATCAAAGTTTGCTGTCAAAATGAACACTGGTCTGTGCAAGAAACTGAACCGTATTTATATAGTTTTTTACCTCGGATTCACGCAATGTCCGAACTGTTCAAACTGTCCTGAGCGCGTTCTCAACAGCAGGCGCGTGAGGCGTCGTTGTCTTCTTGCTTTACAGCGGATCGCAGACTTATAAGTGCATTACCTCCACCTATCTCTCAAGTGGACCATTGACACTTCTAATTGAGATTGTAGATAGAGTGTCAATGGTAGATAGAGCGTCACCTACATCTTGGATAGGGCTGGGTATCGAGAAAGATATATTTTAGGCACCGACCTAAATGCCTCGATACCATCGAGTATCGGCTTTACGGCGGATCGCAGACTTATAAGTGCATTACCGCCACCTATCTCTCAAATGGACCATTGACACTTCTAATTGAGATTGTAGATAGAGTGTCAATGGTAGATAGAGCGTCACCTACATCTTGGATAGGGCTGGGTATCGAGAAAGATATATTTTAGGCACCGACCTAAATGCCTCGATACCATCGAGTATCGAAAAACGTCTCGTTGTTCGGTACCAAATTTCGATACCTAAGGGGTTAATCTCATCAGTGTCAGTGAGCCAATAAGCCTGCAGCACTAGCCGGTGTGTTCGACTAGAAGATGTGCGGTGCAGATCAATCAGGGTTTGACATCCGCGAGAGCGATTTGAAAGCACACGGAGCAGTCTGCTCTCTTTAGCTCTCGTGGTACTGTAATACACCGATCGGTCTGCACAGTCAGTCCGCGTCAAGTCGAACACACCTACTAATTTACACAGGTTACACTCAGAGATGTGGCGCACACGTGAGGCTGTAGTGCGAATGCGTCCCAGCCCCCTTAAATGTAAGGCTACATTTACACTGGTGCATTTATGTTTTAAAATGAAAACGATCCTCGTCATACTGGCGTTTCCACTGCGTTTCAAGCC